ACGGAGCAAGACCATTAAGAGCTTTAAAAGCAAATAACAAAACTTTAAAACGAATCCTAAAATATACGGGCAGCCAGTGCAGGGAGGCTAAAACAGGAGAAACATGATCAAACTTTAGTGTGCCAGTTAAAAGATGTGCAGTGGCATTCTGTGCAAGGTTCATTAAAACCATCTATTTTCACCAGTTTACCTGTCTGCAGTCCAAACCTGATCAATAATTACCAAACAAACAGCATCAGTTAATCATAATGATCTGATCGATTTAACCCCTGAAATCACTTTTCATCAGTTTTCTTGTATTCAGCCTGGTGCAGTCTGATGGTTTAACTGGTCCAGCTGATGGAGTGCAGAGTTGTCTTCAGAGTAATACGAAGTGTTTGAAGAGAGGAATCAGCTGCTGCTGTGAGCTGGCATCATAAAAACACTTATAGCTCTTTTTAATCCTCCTCCACTTCAACCTTCAGCTGTTGTAGGAAAACCACAGCTGGCCTGGAGCCATCTGGGCTCGTAGCTGGAAGCTGCAGTGAGTCATGGTCCTGTTTTAAAGACTGCTGTCAGCAGGTGGAAGGAAGCTGCCACACATTGTCTCCACGTGACTTTAAAACATGACAACATCTTTTAATGTCTCCAGTTAAACTCTGTCTTTTACTGTAAAAATAAGCTAACACATAAGGTATTATTTTAAAATAATAACATTAATGAGTGAACATCACCTCATCTTTTAAATGAAGATGTTATTTTCATGTTGTGATGCCGAAAAACTCAGCTGGTTGAAGGAGAAGTTTGTTTTAGGTTTACAAAATCATGTGTGTGACATGTTTTTGTGCCGTTAAGAAGAATATTTCATTCTTATAGGACGGCTGATCTGCACATTCCCTCCGCCCATTCGGTAGAATGATCAAACTACAGATAACTACAGGTTTTGTTTTGGTTTTGATGAAGGGAAAGATATCACAGACCTGTTCAGATGCTTGTAGTAGGAAATAATGTGTGTGTCTGTGTGTGTCTGTGTGTGTGTGTGTGTGTGTGTGTGTGTGTGTGTGTGTGTGTGTGTG